GCGATTTGCAACTAGGACCGTAAAGGCAGCACCCGCCATGCTATAATGAAAAAGCTTGGAGAACTCTGCTTCCATAAAGGAGATTTTTGACATTTGCCCTTGCATGACCTTTATATACAAGTTTGACTGTATTTCCTCAGCAGTTGGTACAGTTTATCATTCTCTTTGTCAACGTTGAGCGCAAAATCTGTAGCTGCATCCCACAGTTCACTGACTGTGCAGCAGCTGTTTCTATGCATGTCATTCGAAGAGTGTTTGATTTCAGGCAACCTCGCCCGGTTGGCTGTTTCACCATAGAGAGCACCAATGTGCACCTGTCACATATATCAGGTGCGTCCTGTGTGGGCAGTAGGTGTTCGCTACACTGATGCTTGGTGGAACAAGTGAGGCTTTGAATCAGGGAAGAAGGAAGGGCATGAAGTTGATTATAGATGGGCATATATATACCTTGGCATAATATGTAGTATAATATTTTATATTACCTAATATAGTTTGGAGAAGTTCAAATTCCAAAAATAAATTTCTGTAGTGGCTGATTTATATCGCATATTATGAAGATTGCCCAATGATGACAGGCATATATAGAAACTGCAAATAACTGTATATAGAGACCCTACCGCAAGGTTCACCGCAAAACGGCATTTTACTGCAGGGTAATGCATGATTGAGTGATGATGGGTGTGGTCAGAGTGTGTAGATCTATCTGTGTGAACCCTGGCTTCATGGGCCGGGCAAATAATCGAGGTGAGTTCTAGGATGACTATTGATGGAATCTTCTGAAAGTATCTTCATTCTACTCAGAAAATAGCTTCATTCTAGTCGGAAAGCATTTCCATCTGTTACCGCTAAAAATGCTCATTAAAATGTAAATTATTGGTCCTCAATTAATAATTTATGCAAGCACCTTCTCTCTTGGTCTCATAGGAATGACAGGTTTGCATTGCTGCAAGGCTTTGAGAATGAGTTCTAATAAATCCTGGTAAAAAAAAACCGAGACACGTATTATATATATGGGGTAACGACATTGTCGCGTCTAATGTGTGGTAGATGTTTATTTAACCGTTGTTGCAAGGCTGTGAGGTAGGGTTCCCAGCTAAAGAGTTCAATAACATTCACTGCCGAGGAAAGCTTGAGTTTTAGGTACCTGGTATTGTTTTTTGTAGCCTGCATATCTGATGCACTGTTTAAGTTTACTGTCTATGCCCAACGTATGCTGTATGAAGCAGTCGTTAGGTATTAGCTCTGGGAACAGTCACGTTTCACAATGCGACTGCCACCCACATGCTATTACACTAATACGGGCGTATTCAACGACATATATAAACCGCTTTTTCAATTGCGAAATACACTTTCTAAGGGCTGTGAGAAGTGAGTGACAGCGTGAAGATTTAATCGCTGTTAAATCTACAGTGCGAGTTTATCCTGGCAGGAACCAGAACACGAGCACCTTGATCACCACTCCCCTGTTTGGAGGCGGAAAGTAGGCTATAGTGTTCCATTATTTGTCATGGATTGTAGTACTCCTATATGCGCACGTGAAAGCGTGGATGGTTGCGTTGTACAGTTCAGCGCTACAGTAACTATGCTGTAAAACCGTGCACAGGTGAATGCATACATGATGAATGATGATTGATTGACTGTGAGTGATTGCTTATGGAGTTCTGTATAATTTATTTAACACTAACATTGCACATGGAGGGAGTTTACAGGTGGCTCCACCTGTAGCTACGGTTGTGACTTGTGGCTGCGTTATAGGTGTTGAACAACAGTAGAGGGCGTTCATAGGCGGCAGGCCTGAATAAGCATCGAACAGAAATTAATTAAAAATACTCACACTGTTACTGCGCTTACACAACATACACTTTATTCATGTTAAATAACTACAGATTCATGCTCTATGCCCCGCTTGAAACTTTTGCCAGCTCTATGACGCGAATTTCTACAAAGTAGTCGGATCACATTTCAAAGACAAAAATAACCAACCGCTCTAGCTGTGGCTACGCCACCTGACGGAATGTCACGAATACACAACAAGACCAATTTTACTTCTAATGCTTTGGCTAGCGTCCACGAGGGATGCTAGGGACTTGCGTGCATAAGTGCGAATTAGTTGCACTCTAGTGGCGAATGTATGTGGCTGGGGGAAAAAAACTGCAGGAAAAAAGGGATTTTTCTAGAGACGATAGTGTGCAACGGTGGAACAATTTGTCGGACGCTTACTGGTTGCTAGCAACCTCCGTATAACGGTTCAGCACGCTCAAGGTTTATATTTGGTGCGTTTAGTAGTGCTGTCACAGCTTCTGAGTGACAAGCTTATAAATCCTGAGTCTTCCAACTACTCTCGGGTGTAAGCTGGTGGTCAGATTAGTGTCATTGCAGGAGGTGAAGCTACATGATTGTTTAATTGAAGTCATGTAGCTCACGCTTGACTCGGTCAAGTTGAGCTATTGCATGGCCGGCGTGGTCCGTCGTACGTTCCGTCCGGTCTGTCCGAATCCGTCCTGTGCAAAATTTGGATTTTCCGGTCAACGGATAATCAGGAACGTTTGACCCACATGCTTTTGAAAATTGGGGTGTTTAGTTTGATTACCTGCTATGCATACCATATGGAAGCGTACCTCATTTTGAAGCAAGCGCAGTCGACGCACTTTCGAGCCCGGCAAGTTTTTTGGCTAAAAATGAGGAATTGCATTATGTGTGTGTCAGGTTAAGCGGATTTTGCTCATTTTTGGTATGTGAATGAATAAGGGCTAGGGAGTTTTGGATATGCTAAAGAAAAAATATGCAAATGATGTAGTGTTTGGTGCAATCCTATATAGCAATATATAAACCAGCAGTCTGACTGCGCGGAGTGTCACACTCGTCTGCGTTCGTTTTACAGAGATTTCATTGACAATATCTTTAATCAAATATGGCATTTCCTCTCCACGTCTGGCGATAAACGTCTTATATTTAGAGAGTGGAAAGTGTTACAAATGTCGGAACGCAGCAGTTAAGCTATTTATTTCAAGGCCATCGCCTACAAAGCGGGGTATAGCGCATCTCGGGTCTCACAAATTGGTGGATTCATTTTGGCGTATTCGATAAAGTTGCTTAATTGCTGAATATACAGGTATGGCAACGTGTTCTTAATGTGACGTCGAGTGTTGCTCATTAAAACTGGACTCTTTCTTACTCTCACTCTTTGTGTCCTTTTTTGTGGTGAGCTACAGTGTCATTGACACTTTCATTTTTGTTTTGGGTTTTGCTGTTTTATCACTTGCTAATCATTCGCTAATGCATGGAATTGATCTATCCACCCGCCCCCTGGTGTAATTGATAGACAGCTCTGGCCATTTATTGTTGCGAGTAAACGTTCTAAAAACAATGCCCAGCAACCAAGTGCTGCGAAACGAAAACAAACTGTAAATTGACATGGCAACACCATCCAGACGAGGGTGGGTGGGGTGGGGGGGGGTGATATTTCGTTCAGCTTGACAAGTCGATTCTCCTTGACAATATTTCTCGTCATTACGTACTCTATGAAGGCCCGTGCATCTGTGAGACTAGCTGTCCATGTGTGATAGTTTCTTAGTCCTCTAGCGCTCATAGGGTCTATGTCCCCCAGGGTACTGCCGGAACGTACCCAGGGTACGGTCCGGTATACCGGAACGTACCCTGGTCACTATTTGATATGGTTAGGGTTAGGATTAGGGTTAGGGTTAGGGTTAGGGTTCGGGTTAGGGAGTAGGCGTAGGCGACTCCCTAGACTCGTTAGTGGAGTAGGCGAGGTACGGTCCGGCATATTAGATAGTACCAGGGTACGTTCCGGTATACCCCACCGTACCCAGGGTACGTTCCGGCAGTACCCCGGGGGACATAGACCCTCTCAGCTCCTCTAGCTATGCATGGTGTTTGCATATCATTAGCCGGTTACTGCTGCAGCGTGATTCCAAAACGGTGAAATCATAGTCTAAATATAGACTGACACCAAACACGTAGGTTGAACTTGAACGTTCAGCTGGGTAGCAGATTGAACGTTTATTTAAAATTCATGATCATATAATGTAAAGAGTTAAAATCATGGAAGACATTGATTATGTTACTAGCCTATAATGTGTTCGTGTATCAGCTAGGTTGGCACTATAGACTTGGGTTGTTGACAATTGATGTAAGGTACATTTAAATGGCCCCAATGTAAATAAGTGTACTTTTAACATGCGTTTTTTGTCTT